CAGAGGACGGCCGGAAGCTGCGAAAAAAAAATGGAGCAGGTCGCATCTGGCGCTGCGTTCTGGCGTGTGACATCAAATATTAAGATTGGAATCGACAGATGGTGATGATTTTTTGTGTTTTTTTTTTTTGTCTATGCCGCCCGCATTTGGCATGTTTTATGCCATTTTTTATGCGTTTTATTCGCTGGTTTAAGCTTTACATGTTTGCGAGGCTGCAGAATCGAGCACCGAGCGAAATAGGCGCCGAGTTTCTGAGTTGTTCGTGCTTTGAAAGTAGTTCTACAAATTCCTTGATAATATACTTTTTAAGGTTAGAAGAACTAGATGTCATTAATAATTCGATTTATAGTGTAAACATTATTAATGTTTCCACAGAAAATTTCGATAAATTCTGTTCGTTAAAGGGCGAAGGTTAAACAGCCCGTAAGAGAAATACAAAAATATTTGATATATGTATATTATTAAGTTATTCCACCCATACAATGTGGAAGAAAGGAGACCTTAAACTCACCCAATTCCTTCTGGAACTTTAGAGAAAGGGATGCAGACTTATAAAAGGCCTAATGCTAGCTTCTTACGCCAAGAAGCTGTGCAGGAAAAGCAATTAACTGGAAGTAAAAGAAACGCTGGAGTACGTCCTCTGAGATTGCCCAACACTGGAAACGCAACAATTAGATGCTAGTGGATTATTAAATCGACCTTTAAACTGATCTACAATTACCCGGCGACACCAAGGTCCAATGCGGTCCATGTGGAAATGCCAATAGGTAATATTTTAGTTTTAAAAAAGTTTCAGTTAAATTTTTTAGTGCCTTACGAGCTTTCATAATTGCGAACAATTTATTACATTTTATTAATTAAATATTAAATGAAATATTAATATACATTTTTGTGCGTAAATAATAATATTAAATAAATAATTTTTAAATAAGGAATGCATTTTTAAAATATTGCCATTTCCTTTTGCAGTTGATATTTATTTATTTTTATTGGCAATTCCCCAACAACATTTTTAATTAGACGTTTTTTAGTTTCTTTGTAAATGCTTAGTAAATATATTTTTGAAATCTTTCTTAAGTGAAAAATTCGGGTTTTTATTTCTAGTAGTGCCAAGAATTTACTCCCACCCTCCTATACCAATAAGTTTGGAGTCGACTTACACAAAATGTCTTCTTTTTGTGCTAATCGCAGGACTGCCCTTGGAGTAGCAACCTATTCGCGTTTCTTCCATAGCTTTACCTTTTAGAATAAAATAATTTGCTTCTAAATTGATAGTTTGTAAGTAATTGTGATACACTTTCTTACAAATGCTCTATAGTTTTTAGTCAGAGACTGTTATAATTCCTATAATAGTGTCAGTCTACAAAGTGAACCTTCAATTGTAATATGAAAATAATTGTCAATTAAGAAAAGTTGCTTAATAATTTTTACACTGATGACTGCCACCCTGAAATGTTGTATTCACTTAACTTGTCTAATTAATTTGTAGGGGTGCTGCGTGTCTTTATGTTGGAAATCTCATCCTGCTTCCTCTATATTTAATGCCCAGTCAGCTTTGCACATTCCTGTCCGTCCACGGCCATAAAAACAACAATAAAATTGAGGCACAGACTGCTTGTGTTAACAGAAATTTTGCATATAGGCGCAAAGCAAATAAACATAAAACACAAATAAAATAACAACATTTGTGTAGATTTCTTGAGAGTGGGGGAAGTGGGATTGGGATTGGGTGTGGGTGTGAAGTGTCGGTTGTTGGTCGGTTTGTGTGTACACTTCATTAAATTTTGTGAAGTGCAACATCTGGCAGAGCAATAACAACAACGAGAGGAGAGAACAACAATAAGTGGTGACCAGAAATGGAAATCCAATGCGAAAACATGTTGGATATTTCGCAATTAAATTGAAATTTTCAATGCAATACACATTTTTGAATCATTTATTAACTGCAGTTCATAAATATGGGCTTAATAAAAGCTAACAATGCTGCCAAAGAAAAGGCGTAGTGACATGCCGGAGAAAAGGATTAAGTTGTCTGCCGAGGACTTTCCACTTGGCGGTTCATGGGTGTGATAAGGAGAGAGAGAGAGAGAGAGAGAGAGAGAGAGGGAGGGAGAAAGAGTGGGACTTTGAGTTCAATGTACAACAATTGACTGACAAACAAAGTAAATCGAAGCCATATATAGAATAATAGAGACAACTATTTGGCCTGCTCTGTACGACAGCCATTCAAATTGTTGGCCTAGACACACACAAACACACACACACACACACACACACACACACACACACACTATATCGACAGTTATTTGCTTTTATGTCTGTCTGTCTATCCGTCCCTGCTCGACAAGCAGACGTCAGTTGGCCAGACAGTTTAGCCATCTCGTATATAAACTTCAACAACATACACAAATTCCTACAACTATTTCCGCTTACTGCAAACAAATCCAGCTAACAAAACATTCGAAGCATCAGCAACAACAACCGAAGCTCTAACAATGGCCATGACAATGTCAGCCCGTTCAACAGCGCGTATACGCATTATAGCCATATTATTGAGTTGACAGCCTTCCGTTTGCAAGAGCCCAGTAAAAGGCTCTCCCACACTCTCTCCCTCCTACGCCGTCTCTCTGTCTCTGTGTCTGCTCATTAAATATGTTGACATGTTGATAAATCGTAGCTTAATATTGCTATTCGATTCGATTAGGCGATGTCTGACATGGTCAACAGTCAATAGTCAATGAGTGAGTGGGTGAGTGGGTGTGGCATGAAGGAGTAAAGGTTGAACACTCATTCACTTGATTCCTTTTTCTGAACGCCCCAAAGACAGTGGCTTGATTAGTGGGGTAAAAGATTGATGACTTAATAAATATACATAAGCATGTGGTCTAAAACCTATCGCCGGATTGGAGCGCTAGAGAGTTTGGGTCCAAAATGAAACCAGCATTTTTTTAGCTTGTTTTTGAAAACATTTCAGCTTCTAAAATTGCATTTTAATTTATAAAACATTGCTTTAACGGGTTCTGGATATCCGTTAAGTAAATGACTATCGTGGAGCTCATCAATTTTGATCCATGTCTTTGTACTTCAAAAATCTTACAAGGCAACGAGGACGAACACTTTAGAGCCATGTATCTGTTATAGAACATATTAGACAAACGGGCAAAAAAGTTAATGAAAGAAATTCGGGTTTAAAAAAAGCTGAATTAACCGATGGCCCACCATATACAATTTCTGATCATAATGAATGAAAAACATTTCACGCTTGTTCCTGCGCTGAGCAGATCCGATGTATTGAATATTTCGATGTAGATGTTTCTAATTGATAAATCGCAATACATCGATGAAACATGTGGATGGGATGCATCGACGAAAACATCGATATATTTTCAACATGAACTAGCCCTAGTCGTGAATAACGCTTTCTACATACTTGTACATATGCATACATGCCTTCCTTAAATAATTTATGTAAATTTAAAACTTTCTATAATATATTAAGTTTCCTTTACAAATAAACATATAAATAATAGATTAAAAAAAAAACCAGCCTGAACGCCTTTGTTGCTCTGGCTATACATATATGTACATACATACATATGTATTTCAAATACGTATGTATCAAATTTTGTGATTAGGATTAAATCTAAGTTACAAATAATTATAATAATAATATTAAGTTTACTCTTTGATACTAGACAAACAGCAGTTAGGTCGTAAAATGTTTTACAAGCTAAGCACCAGAAAACACTGTTAATCTCAATAAAAATCAGCTGAGACTGAGGGACACAACAAGAAACTTTCCACAAAAGTGTGATTAAATTACTAAAATAAATGATCCAATATTTTAGCTAGAAATCGCCTCTCTAATATAAAACATACTGTTGTCTTATGACTACTTCAACCATAATTATATAAATATTTGCCTTTTTATTTATTACAATCCCACAATCATCGAGCATTTATCGATACCTATTAGGTATATATGGTTTTGCTTTGAGCTTAATGGCCGGTACGCACATCAACAAAATTACTGATGAAAAGTGTGTATCAAAAGAGTTAATTGTATTGATTGTTGGTCACACTGATCAATTTATTTGTCTCATTTATAATTAATATGATTTGCGACAAAATTAAATGAAAAGATGAAGCCATTTTAAGTTAAATGTACTGCAATCTTGATGATTAACTTAACAAAAATGATGTCGATAACACGTATCTAAGTGCATAGCCTTTAAAGTGTATTTCAAGTGGCATTGATAGGATAGAGTATATTTGTGGTATTTTCTACAACAATTTTGCTTAAAATAAGTTGGTACAAAGATCCAACCAACATTTATTCTTTTAATCTTAGCAAAATATTTAGTTGGTTGACGGAAGACCTAGCAAAGATAATATATGTTTTTAATAATCGTAAAAATTAATCGAAAACTGGGAAATTGGGGCTACCATGTTGGAAAGTAAGAGTTCAGTGGCTAATTATTTAATAGTGGTATTCTTGCAACTGATTTTTTTGACCTATAATAATTGTATATTGTACCGATTAGTAGTGAGCAGCTGCTGTATAGAAATACAGTCACAGAGCTTAAACATAACATAAAATTTAAATTCGAAGACTGAGCTGATGTTTTTCAATTAAAATAGGCGTTTTTCCCAAAGACCTTTGCAGTCTTCTATATATTTGCTATAATATTTAATTTGTAAACTATTTAATAATCAGTAAATTAATAATAAATAATAATATTAAAAATATTTAGCAGCAAAAATCAATTTGCAATAATAATTGGGATGTTATAAATTATATAACATAATAGTCTTTAATTTTATGGAACGCTGTACCTCACGAATTGCTCAAGTGTGTTATCGGCAATAATCAGGCATGCCACGAATTATTTGTTCAGAGCTTTTTCGGCGCATCAACGGGTCTAAGAGGAGATGATATCGATATCGATAAAAACTATAGCTCCATCATTAGTTTGTGATTTTGTACGCGAACTTTCAGATGTGCTCTCTGCGCATTAGTGAACTTATTTAGGAGGTAGACTTTTTAAAAAGCTTATTTATTTGATGATGGAGGCGGTTGGAGCTGATAGTTCTGATTGTATTCAGTGGACCCAAGAGTTGATACTTAAACTCATTGGAGAAATTCAGAAAAGAGATGTTATTTGGACGCCTGTTTTTCGAAAGAGAAAGGTCCAATTAAGACGAATTGCCTGGAAAGCCGTCGTCGCTGCAATGTCGATTCCAAAAGAAAACGTAATGAAGAAATGGAGAAATATTCGTAGCTGCTGCAGGGTGAGTGCAATTTTACATGCAAATGTATTTTAATCTTTCCTCTCAAGTACATATATACTACCTACATATCTAATATTTTATAAATATGTACATATGTATGTATGTTTGCTTATTTGGCAGGTTTTTTTCCTAAATGGAGGGGACTTGCAAGGGCATCCAATTTATGGTTCGATGACTTTCATGGCACCCGTATTTTCTGCACAAGATGCGGCAAATTCGGTGAGTGTTCGATGTGTGAAAAACTGCAATGTCGGCCATCTTTTTTTTGACAGATGTACATATGTATGTATGTATATTTATGTATATGTAGCTACGGATATACATACATATATACATACGCAAGTATGACTTCTGTTTCTTTTTGTTTTTTGCTTTTCGTTCATTAGAAAAATGTTATCATACATGATTGTAATAGATGGCCCAGTAATAGCAAACCTGTTAGATATATATAAACATTTGTTGAATATTTCGAAATGCCGGATTATTGAAATACATATATAAACAACTAAAAACATTCGTCAAAGTATAGAATAGTAAGTTTAAAGATGTCCCCCCATCACAACAAATTATTTTGTTTTTCTGCATAACTGAAATTTATGTTAAAGGCAAATATCGAATCAGATTAAAACACTATTGGTTTTTAAAGAAAAAGATTACAATGGAAATAAGAAAAGTATCCATTGTGCTGAGGTGTTAAACATGCCTTGTATCCAGATTACAGAGTGTTCCATGAGCTTGAAATGGAACTAACCAAGAAATGAGCAAGATTGGTAATGTGCGGAGTGGAATATGGCAGATCTCAAATAGATATATACGTAGTTTAATGCGTTTCTATCGTTACTATCATATTATAATGATGCATGACCTCCACATGCCTTATCTTATCCGTAAGCAGATAAAGTTGATTGTAAACCGCATATGCATAGGAATAAATGTGGCTAACATTGCTTCTGGTAGAACGAAATTTTTGCAATAATATTTAAAGATTTTATTATAATATGGGTTTTTTTTAATGGGGATAAAAATAGGAAAGCGTATCTCAGAGTTTCAGTTGGTGCCTCTCTCTCTTGCATTATTTGTTGCCTCCAGCCTTTGGATGGAAAAAATGTAGGGGTTAAGACGTTGGGTGATGATGATTTGAAATACTTTGGCGATTTAAGAAAACAGTATATGGCAAGAAAGAAAACAACACTATGGAGTTATATTAATAAATTTGTAATCCAAATTTCAAAATTTACTTTTATTTGTTTGTTCTGATACTACCCTTATTCCAATAACTATCTACATTTTTCTACTCTGCTTCTAAGAACGTTTCGTCTTCGACTACTACGTTTGAGTTGAGTTCACAAATCAAATCTTTATCAAACCGTAAAAGAACAATTTCGGACTTGTCTGAAAGTCCAGTTAACAAGAAGTCCAGATCGGACGAATGGAATGCTGTGGCCAATTTGATTGAAGCCAATGGACGCGCTTGGTCCGAGAAAAACTTGCCAGTGGCTCGTGACTTCAAAATAGCCATAAGCAACCTTATCGCTCAGTTCGAGCAAAAGGCAGCAGATTTTATGAATGCTGATGGCCAAGGAACACCACAAGCTGGGAAAACCCATGCGAGCACAAATACCTTTTTAAGTTTTGTGGGTGAGTTCGATGGAAACTCGGGAATTGAATTGCCTTCTATGCAGATGGCTTTGGCTAAAAGTAATAAGATATGTAAGCCTATGAGTTCGGCTAGCTCTGATGTGAGTGCTTGTACGCCTAGCTATCAAGTTTCGGACTATTCAGGTCAATCCTCTGGTTTTGATAGTCCTTCGGCTAGTCGTGGTTTTATTGACATGTATGGTTGTACGAACAATAATGCAGTAACCGAAGCATCGCAAAATATGCCAAATGTGTTGGCTCCCACCGACAATAACGCTGTCAACAATCAATTTGAGGAGCAATCGACAAAGGACTCAGGTGCAGATGACACTGAAAGAGACAAAATTTACGTGGAAAACTCAACAACTACTTCTACTGCATGGGAACTGAATTTAGTTAAGAATTTGGATAACAGTCAACATTCTTACGAGATTACAGAATACGACTCGGTCCAGATCTCTGTAGAAGAAGATGGAGAACCAAAGCTGAACAATGAGGGTTCTAATTCTTTTTCGAAGACTATAGGAACTAAGGATGAAATGAGTTCTGTCGAAGACATTGCTAAGAACTTAGACACCATTGTTCCGGCTAACGAGATCGCAGAAAACCAATCCATTCTGAAATCTTCAGTTGTGAATAAAGTAGCCAAAACGGTCGATAAATATATAAAATCTAAGGCTACAGACACTGAAAACAAACTGGTTTCAGTCAAAAATATGACTGTTCCGTCTTATGAGAACACAGAAACTAACTCCAATCTTGCTTCAGCTGCCTATGAAGAAGAATCCGAGAACGCTTCAGACACTGAATACGAATTGGAATCAGCTAAAAATATAACTCTACACGAGGACACAGAACTCGAGAATTTCAATGGAGAAATTGCTTCTGCTGCCGACGAAGGAGAATCCGATCAAGAGGATGAAGGTACTAAGTCCGAAGGCAATCTATGTTGCATGTCGTAATCAGATTCTTTTCACATTACTAACAACAACTTCATAAGCCATTTCTTCCAAGCAAATTATTTCTCGATTTTAACCAATAACTACTGAAAACCTAACACCATTTTAAGAAAACCATTGGTAGCAAGATGTGGTAAGTGCGTTCTTTTCATTTAATTTCTTCTTCACACTAACAAACAAACACGTCACGCACCTTAGTTCCTATTGATAGTATCCTACTTCTATTGTATTTATCTGGATTGCTTACATCCAGAAATAAAAATCGTATTACAAATCGATATTTCTTTCTATAGGGACCTATTTAAAACGCCTAATACAACTGCCACATCAAACAAGCATATGTCTAAAATAATTTACGGTTTCATTTTGCAGATTCAGGATGGTAAGGTCTATTTGCATAGGAAGTGCTAAAAGTCTTCGTACTATTATACTTCACACTTTCAGCTATTATCTATTACTGGACTTGCCTTAGCTGCTTCTTGGTTTGAGCCATCGATGACAAATGCTGTAAGTATATAAAAGAGTGTTTAAAAGTGAGAGATTGCTGACTCAGTTCCATTTCCCTAATAAATCTCAGAGGGCTGCCTATCAGATTACTCGATTCACGATCTCAAAATTAAATCACCTCCTAATCGGGTGCCGAAAGGAGGTTACACAGCGCGCTTTTCGGTTTGTTTAAAGTATAATTAATATTGCCAGATAGGATCGCTTCGCATCAGCGGAATATGTCAATTCTGAACGGATTCTCATTGTTCTCATCAATTTGTCTCACTTTCCCAATCAACTCGAATCAATCAAAGTCGATTTGCCTTGGCAACTGTCAACCAAACTGATGAAGTACACGACACTTTTGCGCGCTTCTCCATCACAAGCCTTGCAGGCAGAGAAGTTAGCTAACTTTTTGGCAACCCAGGCCAGCCTTCAAAAATGCCTAAAACTGTCAACCTGCTGAACCCTTCAAAATCGGTATTTTTGTGTAAACAATTCAATTGCTCTGGCATGCAAACTTTTTCTTGTATTTGTTCTCTTTTTTTTTTTGTCATTTTACTTTTCAACTTCCCCAACTTTTTATTCACTTTATTTTATAGCCAGTAATGTGTGCGAGAAATAATTTCACAATTTTATTCAATCAAAATGCGCAAATGCCGTTGGTCGTTGGTTGGTGGGGTTGTAGAGATTTTCTTGTTCGAGCGAACAAAGCGCAAGGTTCGTCCCAGTCCTGCTCTACCCTGCCACGCCCCCTCTAGTACGCCCAGCTATTGAATGTTGTCACCTACGCCAACGCCACTGCCAAAAAGTTCTAAAGTTATTTAAAACATTTTATGCTACCAACTCCCTTTTGCCCGTCCATCCTTGTTTTATTGTGTTCCTAGGTTTGTGCTTGAAGAAAAATGCGTTTTTCATGCTAATGTCAAACCTTAATAGATTCACGTTAGCTAACAGCGTCCCCCCCTCTCCCCATCGCTATTCCTCTTTCTACTTCTTAGCAGTTGCCATTCACCTTCATGGCTCCCACATCATCAACAACGGTGTTGAGCTTGTTTGCTGGGGAAATTGTTGGCGAAGGGGAGCTGAGCTGTGCTGAGCTGAGGTGTGGGGGCTTGGCATGCTGAACATGTGTTCGGAGATTTCTTGAAGCACTTTTCACGGCACACAATTGAACATCGAGCTCTTGAATTCAAATCGAAGGGCGTTCTCATGCCAGAGTTATTTCACTCCAGAGAATTCCAATTGGACAAGTGAACTTTTCTGCTTTGATTACGTGGGCGTTACGCCTTAAATGTAGCCAATATGGCTATTAAGTTGCATGTGAATAGGGCCCATATAGTAGTCCCATGCACACAAAATGCAGGTAATTTGTCACAAAAGCTGACAGCAACGGCCCAAGAGTTCACATACAAAGCCCAAGCCCACAAATGCATGGCTGGCATATAATAGGCAGTTGCAAAAACTGGTCCGCACCGAGGCTGCCTAATATATGCAAGGTAACTGGGTTAACAAGGTGAGTTTAGGCAGCAGCGGCAGCGGCAAAACTTTTTAGGCCACAAAAGTGCAGAGCACAGGAAAAGCCTAACCAACATATCGCACCATACAGTATGGGAGCAGGGGTAGAAGCATATGGCCATGTTTCCCATGAACCGCAACGGGAGCAGGAATCTTTGGTGGCACGTGGCTTTAAGAGCTAAGGTGGCGGCTATTATGCAGCAGAGGGTCCAGTTAGCATGTGGTTTTAATGATATCGATCGATTTTGAGTATATACGAGCATATTCTTGATAAATCATAACGTCAGAAATTAATTTGCTTGTTTCTAATTTTTGAGATTTACTTCAGCTTTTCTTTGAGAAAATGTTGTCTTTACATTAAACAAGAGAGAACGCTACAGTCGAGCAAGCCCGACAGTGTAATACCCTGTACCCAGGTAAACTTCCGTCACTGAGTTATATGCGCCCATAGCAGCAGCAAAAAGAGGAAGAAGAAGAGCGAACTTGTTGCCGCAGTTTGTGGGGGTTGTACTGTAGAGAATTTGTTTCGCTAATGACTTTTCTCAGAATTGATCGAATTGGATAAAATTTTAAACAACAGTAGACAATTATATATAAACTATGTGAGCAAAGTTTGGTTGAGGTAGCATTTGAAATGTGGACGCTATTGACGAAATTCTGTAGCGGGGGAAGGGGGGGAAAATTAAAAAAAAAAAAATAAACTCGTCCTTACTCGGACCTAGGAGAATCTGGATGCCAACTTTGGTTATTCTAGCTTTTATAGTTTCTGAGATCCTCGCGTTCATCCAGACGGACAGACGGACGGACATGTCTAGATCGATTTCTCTCGTCATGCTGATTCAGAATATATATACTTTATGGGGTCGGAGATGCTTCCTTCTGCATGTTACATACTTTGCACAAACCTAATATACCCTTTTTACCCTACGGGTACAGGGTATAAAAATCTGAAGGTCTTTTAATATATATTTTAATTTCAGATAACACTGGAACATTTCACACATTACAGCTTGAATACACATACACTCAGCAAACAAGTCAGGATAATTATCTATATCCTTGGAACTGAAGGAGGAGAGATCGTTTCCTGCAACACATTGATTTATTTACTAGAAATATATTGCCGCCCATTCTATGAAAATGGAGAGAGAATGGAATGCTGCTGGCGCCATAAAACCAAATTCTTTAAAACAGAAACAATTCACTTATGATGGTGTGATGTTTTCATTAATCAGGAACAGTTTTTTTTTTTTTTAACATTCTACTTAAATATTAAGTAGGGTGAGCATTAAAGCTTATTCGAATATACATGCATAATTCTGAATGGAAAACATTCAATGAAAAATACTAAAAAAATTAGGATCCATTCTTAAATGAAACATTGTGAACTGAAATATTAATTTGCGTTGAAATATAACAAATAATAATACTACAATGTTTAAAAAAAATTACAAGTTTGTTTTTAAAAACTTTTAAAAAGCTTAAAAAAAATTACTGTTTTTTGTTTTCGAAAAAGAAAGCAAAACAATAAAACAGCCTAGATTAATGCTTATTCGACTCTACATATAACTCCGAAAGTATGAAAATATTTTCTGCTTTTAAAAAATAAAGCATATATTTTGTAAACCTGAGTTTTATAAAAAAGGCGGATTTTTATAGTCCCAAATTCATTCAAATTTGATGCAAGTCTGACGTTTTGAAGACACCAACAGCAGACACCTAATATTTTTTTATATTCCGAATAAATCGTAAGATCAGCATAATGCTTATTCACACATAACTCTGAATGATTACAAACCTTTCCCTTTTATACGTAAGTTATTGCATTTTCAATGAATTATAATAATAATGTTATTAATTGACGAATAGTTTGGAATAATAATTAAACTTCTTACCATAACAGTTCTTGATATTTTTACTATTATTACAACTTTTAAATGCCTTGTCTGTTGTAAGTTATATATAAAGTAGTATAAGGAATTTACGCAGAATATCTATTCCGTCACTTCGTATAATCTCCTGAGTCATACATGCATATGTTGTAGTTTATTTGTTGTGGACTCAAGGATAATTGCTTGCTCTGCAATCTGCATCCTCACATCCTGCAGCTTGTAGGTGCTTATGCCAGGGGAGTAGAAATGTCGGCTGTGCATAATTTATTTACTAATTTCCAGGACTTAGTCAGCAAGCAGGCCACAGAGGTGCCCATATTTAGACAACTGTCATCGTTGAATGAGTGCGGCTCATTGACGTTGGAATTGGTTGCGATTGTTGTTGGCATTGCATTGCATTAACTTGGTCGCTCTAATTTGCTTAGCACACACTGCTAGTCACACACATCGGTACAGAACAATTAAGGCATCGGCTCATTTAAGATGGAACGCTGCAAATCCACATGAAGCAGCCACAAAATCCAACCACAATGCCTGAACATGCTGACACACACAAGTACCGATACCCTATAGTTCTGATGATGGCAACAAGTGCTCCGATTACTGGTGGATACCAGTGCTGATACCAATTTGTTGAAGCTATCTTCTGCTATGGAAGATTACTAGCTTAGTTTTTAGAGTAGTTTGACTGTATCCAATTCTTTTAACCCACCGTATTAGACACGATGTACACCCAGCGACAAAAAGAAACTTGAAACTATATTGGCATCGCAATTCAGGGAAAAATTAAATTGGTTCTTAAAAAATAAGTAACTAAGGTTAAGCCCTACATTTCATAAAAAAGGTTAAGTAGGTTAATAAAATCGGCTTTAATTTAGTTCAAAGAAAATTGTATGTTTTTGTGACAAGTGCAGTAATTTATAAACATCTTTCTTGTCGCACTAAGAAATAATAATAGTTAAAATTAATGAAATGGCCTCAAAGTTGACAGTTTTTAGAAATGTCGAGCTTGGCCATTTTTCACAATCACCCGATATTTTTCAAAAATATAATGAAACAAATTTTATTGACTGTTTTCCGAAAGACATTTTCGGAATAATTCTTAGTTATGAGTATAAGGTAAGTGTGTCACTCAACAGAAATATCGAATAGTCTCCATTCTACTTTGAGTCTGCAGCTTCAGCAGGGGATTGCAATTCTTTTAATTTATCACGATATTGGACTTTTTTTATTCTGAAAAATATAAATATCGGAGTAATTCTGGTGTATAGCATATTGTATATAGTTTCCCTGACATTAAGTGATGTGCGCTAACATTTATATTTCTATTCTGATTACATAATTTGTACCCTTCTTCTGTTTTTATACCAATAAGCTTACTTGTACGTCTTTTCAAATGTAAAGTACTTAATAATTTGTCTATGTCGTCATTTTTGAATGGAAATCCTTTGCAATTTGCTAAAACAAGTCAGTTGTTATATGTAGTTGTATAGGCAAATGTAAATTGATATCCATTTAATTCTAAATATCCAGCAGCTGCCTTTCTTTCGCTTAAATGAAGCCAACTTCTGTTCTGACTGTTCTGCTGGACTGATGCTAAGATAACTACTTCTTGCACTCCGCTCTCCACAAGCTGATGGATGAGCCACAGCTTTCCACACATACTTACCACATTTCCAATAGAAAGTCAAGTCAAAGCTAAAAGTAAAGCCAACATCTTGCAAATGATAAGACAAGAAAAACCGAATTGCCAAAACTTTGTTCAGCTTTCAACTTTGGGTCCCATTCACAAAAAGTTGACATATGCAAAAAATAAAATAAAATACATACGCATACAAATTATCAGCGTATTTATCTGGGGAAATGCACGAATGAAAAGTTTTGATTTATTTTTAAGCACAAAGTTTTTGGCTTGTCAGATTTTTGATGAGGGTGTGTCTGCCGCATAGACAGGGCCAAATTGATGGAGTGTGTGGAGGGGGCTTGAACTCAAATCAAAACGTTGACAAAAACAATGGCCAAACGAAGCCAATAGATAAATGCCGGCACAGTCGAGGGGCAACAGTTGATTTGCATGGATTAACGAGCTTAAAACATTAACTGCTTACAAAGTTCAAGTTGCTTTTAATTGAATTCAGGAGGGAGTAGCAGCAGCTGCCACACCTAGACCAAGCAGATAACATTCAATGCTGAATGCATTGGCGTGCAATGGAGCTGAAAATGAGAGAGTCCAGCTAACTTGGCTATTGTTTACAGCACCGGGCTCTGTCAGTGTATTGAAGGGATTGTATAGTAACCGAAAATTGCAAAAGCGCATTAGCAGGCAGTGACTTTTCGAATTTTGCCCGACGCATGCAACACTGTTGCACAACAGCCGATGTCGAGGATGATTGTCTGAGCACAGAATTGGATTGGTAAGTCAATTTTAGCTTTAAAAGTGGTTTGCTGAAATGTTAAAGTCACGAATATGTTAAGTCTTGAAAATATCGATTAGCTTGTTAATTGTCCATCACTAGTGCACTTGAGCGATCATCTCTAAAGTTGTGAACTGCGCATTAAGCAAAGACGGCAAAATATGTATCTTCAACATGAAATTCGTTAAGTATTCCAGTATCTTGTTCCATTTAAATGAACAAACCCCTATCGTTTTTATTTTCATAAATGAATTGAAAGATAAATAAAAATCGGATTTATGTCTGCATCACATTTATTTAGAATATGCCTATTATAAAGGATTTCGACAAGTGTTCCGGCCCTGCTCCTGGCTTGGTTTCAAGTATGATTTTAGTTAATTGTCTGTGCTCTCCATATTGGAAGTTTTTATTAATCGATTTTCAGGTTTAAAATTGCAGAATTTTGAAATTTTTAGGAAGAAGTCTACAAAGAGCCGCAAATATAAATTATTAATTAATATGTGTAATAATAAAATATGAAATAATTTAAAATATTTATCTGGCCGTAAAGCTGGACAAGAGGCTATAAGATCGCACTTACAGGATGAACTAAGAACCAGAACCAGATTGAACTAAGTTGAGGCTATCCAGCAGATCGAAATGACCCCGAAAAGGGGCCATCCAATGAAAAGCAATAATTTACAGATCTGATTCAAAGAGATTGATACTGGTACCCGGAGTCCCATCTTTTCTAGTAACCGATTAGAAGGATGTAGCCCCCTGACATCGTATATACTACTTATTGTTAATAAAATATGTGTTAGGGCCAACTCTTCTGCCTAATTCATATCTAGGAAAAATAAATATCAATAAAAAAGAAATAAAGAAAGGAATGCCCTTAAATATTCTGTACCCACTCTTACAAAAATATAAATTTTCTTAATTTTTATACCCTGTACCCGTAGGGTAAAAAGGGTATATTAGGTTTGTGCAAAGTATGTAACATGCAGAAGGAAGCACCTCCGACCCCATAATGTATATATATTCTGAATCAGCATGACGAGACAAATCGATCTAGACATGTCCGTCCGTCTGTCCGTCCGTCTGTCCGTCCGTCTGTCCGTCTGGATGAACGCGAGGATCTCAGAAACTATAAAAGCTAGAATAACCAAAGTTGGCATCCAGATTCTCCTAGGTCCGAGTAAGGACGAGTTTATTTTTTTTTTTTAATTTTCCCCCCCTTCCCCCGCTACAGAATTTCGTCAATAGCGTCCACATTTCAAATGCTACCTCAACCAAACTTTGCACACATAATTTATATATAATTGTCTACTGTTGTTTAAAATTTTATCCGGTCAATTCTGTGAAAAGTTATTAGCGAAACAAATTCTCGCCAGTACAAACTGCAGCAACAAGTTCGCTCTTCTTCTTCCTCTTTTTGCTGCTGCTATGGGCGCATATAACTCAGTGACGGAAGTTTACCTGGGTACAGGGTATTACACTGTCGGGCTTGCTCGACTGTAGCGTTCTCTCTTGTTGAAGTTGATTATGTTTTTTAAAATTCAACTAACTAAATTAATAAAATCAAAAATACAAAACACAAACAGTTTCCACAGAATACATTTAGAGAAAGAAATAGATAAAATCTGCCACGTCTTCTTCTGTGTGTTACATAAATTCGCACTAATCTAGTATACCTTTTTTGCAAAGTATATTAATCTTATAAATAAATATCAATATGCATAATTTCTGAATAACAGTAGCTATCGCTCACCGCTCAACGTTGAAGGTAGAAAAGAGCTAATACTGAAGTGTTATTAATATAAAGAAACTTTTCCTTACTTTTTGTACTTAATAATCAATAAAATTGATACTAGGTCCGGATATAATTGAATTTGCAGGATATGTTGACTTTTTGCAATTCTTTATGTTTATTTGCCAAGCGCCAGTAATAAATAATAAATCCTGGCTACATTTTGATTACTGCTGCTATGCACAGAAAACTTTCAACTTTTTGCAAAGTCAATTTATGCCATAATGAACTGTAAATCGTTAAGCCGGGCGCTCATCGCCATTTATTTATATACTTACATATACATACATACATACGCACAGAGTCTCGCCCATGCATTTATTTCAATACAAATATTGAGTCTGAGTATT